CCAGACAAAAGCATCACCTGAAATGATGGTTTTCCTAGGCTTTTTTTCATATTGCAGTTTATATAGTTCCCCCATGTCAACATGGAACTGGAAATCAGACAATTATGGCAATCAACACATCATATTATCTTGGTTCTACGAGCCATTTTCCAGGATGTAATGTGCTTTATAATCATCCCAATTATTACTATGGTATATATGTATGAATATATATAATTACGCACTTGTAACGTTTGGACAGGATGCTAGAAGCAGATGTTTTAAACTGTATGTTACTCAGTTGTACAATATATCAGATATGAGGATTTGTTTTTCCAGATGTTTACCCAGAAAATTAGGGGTGTACAACTTAGGTGTGTTCATGGGAAGAGAAGGCACCCTGACCAGCATGTAGCACCTGATTGTATGTGAAAGATCATATACCGTGTTTTCATAAATTATTTTCACGAAATACTTGAAAAAGTGTCACTTGTATACGGTTACATTAAAATGAATGAAAAAGCAGCCAATTTATTAATTTTTATGCTACAGTGTATATTGAACATACTGATAAAACATGATGATATGGACTGTTACAGTAGGGACATCAAAATGAGATAATACTAAAAATGATTTTAAAACAAATCAATGAAACATCCACATTAAAACAAAAAAAAAACAAAAAAAACAAAAAAAAAAAAAAAAAAAAAAAAAAAAAAAAAAAAAAAAAAAAAAAAAAAAAAAAAAAAAAAAAAAAACACAATATGAACACCATTCAGCTATAGCACAAGTAAAATCAAAATATTAAATTAATTAATATAATAGTGAACATCAGCATAGCGGTTCTTTTAGATGACTGCAATGACAGTGATAGGTATAGGTGTATCTCGGTGCAATAAAATATTATTATATTACCTGCTCCTGGAAGTCAAATAGTCCATCCATCATGACAGCTTCATCAATAATGTCGCACCATTATCCAAACCTTCCCCATAGACACTCAGTACCAGCATCTTTTCTACAATGGAAAAACTATACTGTTACCAGTACCATATTATTATTATTATTATTATTATTATTATTATTATTATTATTATATAAGTGTTCAGCATGGATATCACAGGGGTATTCATTTTTTTATTGTTTGGCTACTGGAATTTGAATGCAATTTTGCTCATTCATATTTTCCTTATTATCTAATATTATTCATATTAATCTTGATGTAATTTTTCACATTCCTGTAAATGTTAAAAGTGAAACCAACCGTTCTCACTGACATGCTTCAGCTGATGTCTGTGGTTTGTCTAGATATTATGTAAATGTAATCTTCTCATGATTTTCATTGTTACAGAGTTAAAGCTCTTTGTTACAAATGAAATCTGGAAAATTTAAGAGCCAAAAGCACTCCTGCAGTTTTATATGGGGGTTTTACGTGGGGGGTGGCATTTAATATTATTAGAAAATTCAACGGAGAAGTGGGGGTGTGGCAATCCCCCTAAATCCACAACTGACCTTGAAAACATTTTCACAGTTAATATCAGTCATAATAATTAACACACATATTTCATTACCAACAAGAACCCCCTTTTCTTTATTTAAATTATTAATCTTCTTAAAAGTCATATATTCTCTATAATATTATATAAAACTAATTCAAACAGCTGCCCCCATAGTTTATTTCCCACAGCCCAAAGGATCATCAGGAGCATACAATTTCAAAAAGATGCTGGTTTTAAAAATGACAATATGCTACATCAGATCATATATAGTCTCAACATAATGTGTACAATTTTTTGCAGTAAATTTAAATTGCATGACAGTTAATCTACAGATCATAATTCCAAAACAACATCAGCTGGTGTATCATTTGTGTAACGTTTTTCAACAGGTATTTTTTAAAAATCAACACTATTATATAAAATTTCTCCCAGAATCATAGTGACTTTAGTCATTTTTATTGATATGTGAATATGGTCTCATTGTCCTGAGAGTGGTCCATTTTAATTTCATTCTCCATTTCCCTATATTGCTGCTCATAATATACATGTAACTGTTCGTGGAAGTATGCTTATGTTTTGTTGGAAAGCTGAATGATAATTTGTGGTTGTTGTATCCAAACTCAAGTCCTCTTCAAAAATGCCAATTTATTCTTTCAAATTGGTTTCTTTTTTTGTAAGTGATGTTCTTAACTACTAGTAGGCACTTTCCATTCACTGGCCTTCAGTCATGTATTTTATCATTTTTATTTACTTTACTCGCAGCTACTGATGATGCTATTGGTCTTTGGTTTAATAACAATTTGCAATATGCTGTCCACGCAACTATAGCTAACTTTGACCATGTATAATTACATCTTGCTAAGTAACTATTTGCATTGACATTGTCCTTGATTACTAAAGACTTTACATAAAATGTGTGTGTGTGTGTGTGTATGTGTGCTCTTGTGCACGCATTCTAAACCATTTTCCTATGAATGCTGGTGGTATATACTTAGAGGTGGTATGGCCTCTCTGATCCTCTAGTTTCAAAATTGTTTCTCTGTAAAAATGATCCAGCCATCACTATGTATAAGCCTCTAGCTGTATTGTAGTTCATGCAACTAAGTGATTAGAATTGTCTTTATTCTTTTTTATACTGAAATAATTATAATTTTAGAACATCAGCCCAGCCCTAGTAGTTCCAAGGAGGCTTTGTCCTATTTAAAAACAGAGGAGAGTATGGAGCTCCCGCCTGATGTCTTAACGCATTTGACAGAAAGCTCATACGACATTGAAAATCCACCAGCTCGTCTAGCAGTCTGGGATTTTGGAGGGCAAAGTGTGTATTACAACACCCACCACACATTCCTTTCTTCCAGAGCTATTTACATTCTTGCCATTGATATGAGCCTTGCTTTAACAGACAGGCTTGACGACCAATGGCATGGTGCTGAACACTTCTCAGGAACTATTCTTGGTAAGGCATCCACCAGCTCACAGTTGTTTATCAGTTAGTATATAATTTACAATCAGTTGTACAACTTGTACTAGTGTTTGAATGGAAAGGGTTCATAAAACCATTTTACTGCTAATTGTTTTATATACCAGCTAGCAGGTACGGTGTGAAATGTCAATTGTAGTTGAAAAGAGCTGACAATAACAATCTTAAATTGAATCTGGTTGGATCAGAATTAATATATGCCTTAGTAAAATTTGATCTTGTTTATCTATTTATATAATTGTTGTTTTCATGTAGCATTTTCATGGCTTGCTTGGGAAGAAAGTGCTATTGCTAGTAAATGTCTACTATTTTATCCTTAGAATACTTGTAATTCATCCTTTTAATGTCAGCTTCTGTACTCAAACAGATCAAACAGTAAAATATATTTTGAAATGTGTCTGATATATTTCCAGACTTTACTCATTATTGGATAGACGCAATCCATACTTATGCGCAACAGCAAAACATGAGTGAAGATGGGGTTATGTTCCCCCGAATAATCATCGCTTGCACGCATAAAGACAAATACCTGGAAAATGTTCCCAAAGAAAAGGTAGGCATTTGTACTGAAACAAACAAAAAATAGTAATGAAATAAAAATAATGAAAATAATAATAAATTAATGATTTAAATTAAACTGTTTGTTTTGAAAAAAATTATGACAATTAACTGATAAAATGTGTCATTGAAGCTTGCAGTGTTGAAACACATTCTCCCATTCTCTTACAGCATGAAGAAGAAATAAATGCATACTTTGATAAATTGCGGCAGTATATACAACAGAAGAGAAGTGGCGTGCATGTTGATCCTCGTTTCTTTGCAATTGACAACACGTGTCAAGATGAAGATCAAGAAATATCTGATCTCCGTCGATATGTTATGAAAATTGCTGAAAGCCAAAAATCTTGGGGAGAGAAGAATCCAATTAGATGGATTAGATTAGAAGAAGATCTTCAGCTGCGACGAGCACCCGAGAAACGAGGAAAAAGGTGGATAAGGTATGAGGAACTGCAAAATTTAGCTCTTAAAGTTGGAATGCAGGATGCCATTGAGCTGAAGTCATTCCTCCAGTTCCATCATGACATTGGAGATCTTATGCACTTTCAGACTGATGATCTCTCAGACACTGTCATTTTGAATCCATCATGGCTGATAGATGCATTCAGGTCTATTATAGCAGTTGATAAACACCATGTCAAAGCCAAAGGGACTCCATATTGGTCTGCATTAAAGAGGGGCATCTTAGATGAAAGACTTTTGGATGAGCTATGGGGAGATGACATTGAGTTGAAGCCCATATTAATCGGTGTCATGGTACAATTTAACATTCTTTTGCAACAGGACATCAAGCCAGGTACAACAGAAAAGCCTATTTCTCGACAGTTCTATGTGCCCAGCTTACTTCAGATATGCAAGAATCCAGAATGTGGGGTTGGCAGTGAAGGAACACTGTTTATACAAGGGAAAGAGAACTTTATGCCACATGTGCTTTTCAACCGTCTTACAGTGAAGTTAGTCCAAAATGACACTTCTACAGGTAGGAAAGGTTTAAGAAGAAGAGGTGACTTTTTCCTCATTAAAAATGAGTTGTACTACGATTATGCTGTATATGCAATTGATCCACGCAGAGGAGCGCGTTGTGCTTTGAGAAAGTCAACAAAATCCTCTTGCATTGAACTGATTCCCTTATATCCCTCAACAACAAAGTTTGACAGAACAATCCGAGGGGCATATGCTAAGTGGAAGAACCATGTTTCGATGCAAATTCAGCAAGTTAAGCAGACCGTCTGCCCACATTTGCAGCTCAAATGGTGTGTCAGAGACCCGAGAAAGCCAAAGATCAGAGAGGAGTTGATGGCAATAGATCCAAAGGTGACTGATCACACAGCATGTGGGCTACCTGAGGATTCAGTGTACAGACTATGGTTTATGCCAGACTCAAATGAGAAGGTAAGTCATGTAAATATATAATGGAAGTGTGGCTCAGTTATAACTTGTACATGAATATTACGTACATGTATCTTTGTGAAATATATTTGTTTTGTAAATAAATGAATACTCTAAGTATCTGATCACTGGTCTTTTTTATTCAACAGGAGGATAGTGTTACTCCACCTGCCACAACATTACCAAGTGTTACTGGAGGTAAATTATCTTAGAACTCTATACACTCATGAAATAGAAATGTTAAAAAGCATTATTTAGTTGTTGGTGTTGTTTAAAAATTCTTTGATACCTTGGTTTTATTGCAGTTGGATTTTCCACTGTGCAATTTTATTTGTTTATTGTTTTGCTTCCAGTTTGAAGTCTTTTTATGAACAGACACATTGTGTTTGTACATATAACCCTCACCTGCTCTGTTTCTGCCCATGCCCATGCTGAGGCTGATGCCATGCACTTTAACTCTGAGTGGAAAACCAAGTAGACTTTTGTCTTTAAAACTGCAGAACTGATGAATTTTAGTAAAGGCTCAGTTCTAAAACTGACTTGATCATATCATTCTTCTAAAACTTTGGGATTTGATAGACAGATCATCAATGATGTGCATGGGAATTTTGGAATTTTAGTGCACCTGTGGATTGTGCTCCGCTGTGCCGGGGGTCGGGGGGGGGGGGGGGAATGATTATTTTTACATTTTAATTTCTGCTTTCTTCTCCCACGCCATTGATGTGAAGTCATTTCAACACTGATAGATCTAACACCAGGGATGTGCTGGGGTAATTCAGATTTACAATATACTTAGGTGTTGGGAATGCCCCAAATGTATTTTTTTTTTTTCACATTATAACTTTTGATATTTGGCCCAGACAAAAGCAGTGAGGAAGTTGACATATTTATTTATTGAACCTGTGGGTTTTGTCCAGATAAATTACAGTTAAACAATGATCAAGAGAAAGACAGTTCTATTGATTTGACATTTTCTTTCAAAACATTGTTATAGGAAACAGAGATGGCGGTATGTTACAAGAAGAAAGAATTTTTAAATTACCTGCACCACCCCGGACCAGGCACTCTGCCTCACAAGGTAGCAAGAAGATTGGGACAGATGATCTCAAAGATACATACCTTAGGAAATTCTCCATCACTCCAGAAGGTGGACATGTTCACCTGAAGGAAGTTGGAGTATTCCTATTAGTGCCTCCGCAAGCTCTGGCTGAAACTACAGAAATGTTCATTGGTATTAGTTGGAGAGAAGAAGACATGCCACCGCTGCCACCATGTCAGACTAGAGCAAGTCCAGTTGTTGTCTGCGGACCACATGGCCTGACGTTCAGAACACCAGTATACCTGTCATTTTATCACTGCATATCAGGCACACGCCAAAGAAAGATGGGGAAGATCTATCCTGAAAGTCTGACACAGAGTTCAAGAATGGATAATCCATTTTACATATGGCAGTCAGAAACTCACTTAAATGACCCTTGTCAGTGGAAAGTATTGAGCAGTGATTCTGTTGTGTTGACAAACACCAAATGTGTCTTAATTGTGAACCAGTTCTGCAAACACAGTTTGTCATGTGACAGTAAGCGTCTTTCTGCCTTGGTGTTTGGGTCATTTCAGCCTCGACCTGCCCCCTTGCTGAAACTGATGGTGTGCTGTGTCAATGACACCAGAGATGAGGTAGAGGTGAGAATTAATTTATAAGTTGTTTTCTTTTTTGAGTGTTTTGACTATTCCTGACATATTGGGCCCAGGCATAATATCCGTGCTTTGGATGATTGCAAATAACTGTGTAAAGTTGTAATTGGTCACTGCACTAAGTGCCTTTGTAAATGTTTAATTCTTTCGAATAATAAAGTGCATTGTATTTCAGTTGGTTATTTGCATGACATAATCCAACAAGTCATTTTGTCATCATGTCTGTTGCATTTGTTTGTGGAGATCATTTTTTTTTCTTTATCTTTTGATACCCCTAAAATGTTATGTTGCTATTGAAGGGTAAATACTTTTTGTTGGAATGTTGTAGATTGTGAGAACTTATGCTAAGGAATCACTCCTCATGGAGATGTTAGATCTGGCAAAGAAGTTTCAATTCTTAACTTGTGAGTACAGTGAGAGTGAAGATAAGGAGTCCTATGATGTCAGCCTTTTGTTGGACGAGTTTGAGACAGAGTGGAAGTTGCATACAGATTCTCAGGAAAAGGTAGGTTTTTATTACTTATATTTTCCAAAATTGTGCAACAAAGATATGCCATGTAGGCGTAAAGGGCCTGTAGTGTGATGATTTTGGCAGATTAGTGTGAAATATCAACATTTGTTTCCTAGATAATGATAGAGAGAGCTATAATAATAGATAATGATAAAGAGAGAGTGATAGTAAATAAGTCTAAAAAAGACCCTTTTGCGTTTTAGGTAATAAAGTATGTGAAACTGCTGAAAAGTGACACAGAGCATGTAACGTATGCCCTGAGCCCAAAAATGGCAGACAGACTTGATGTGTTTGTCTGCAAGATACACATAAAGCAGAAAGTATCCGAGGATCAGTAAGAGGACATCAAAGTGCTGACATCCACAGAATTTGACATCCACTGGAAGTTACCAGTAAGTTAGGAGAAAACTTGGGCAATAATAAAAGAAGTCTAATGGTACATCATCATATTCTCATAGTGATGTTGTCTTTGTATGATATCACAGTTACTGTAACAATATACAATTATTGCACCTATTATTCCACCCAATGTTTCAGCATCGTTCAGTTATCCCAACTTCGGGGTGAACCTTATCGAGTAGTGACTGAAATGCAATGTCTGTAACTGTTTTGATTTGTGTTCACAATTTTAAAGATAATATACTTAAAACACATTGATAAATTATTGATGACAGCTCAAACAGGGGCAGTGGAGATCCAAGGTGAAGAATGAGGTAAACTTGCTAAAATTATGGCCTCAGGTGACTGCCTCTAAACCAGTTGGCTATCTTCAAAATCCATGATTATGTAAGAATTTTTGGTGACCACTTTAGTGTTGATAAATAGAACCACAATAGTTGGACACCTCCTTTATAGCATTTAAGTATTTAGTTAAAATATTTACTACTGCTAAGCCACTTACCTAATGCTTATTTCTTGTTATATTTTTCAGTTTGCCCCCCCTATGGACTTATACAATTTTGATAGTTATTCTGGTGGTCCAGAAAGCCTAAGATCTGCTCCACAATGGAGTTCACACCCATTGCCAGGAGGTGATCTGCAGAGGCATGGTGGCAACCACTTTCAGTGGAGACCAAACCAGCAGTATTACCAGCAAGACCCATACCAACAAAATCAGCCTAGGTTTCAATCTGACTTTGACAGCCAGCAGTATGACTTACAATCTCAAACATCAAGGAAGGTGGTTGTTGTCCAGGGACAAAAGGAGCAGAATGAGCAAACTTCACAATTGGAGTTTAGCAACCAATGTTGTGTCAATGACACCCCAGATAAAGTTGAGGTGAGGCTTAAATTATTCTACAAGTGAGTGTGTGATTGTGTGTGATTGTGTGTGTGATTGTATGTGTGTTTGTGTGTGTGATTGTGTGTGTTTGTGTTTGTGATTGTGTGTGTGTGTGTGTGATTGTGTGTGTGATTGTGTGTATGTGTGTGTGTTTGTGTGTGTTTGTGTGTGATTGTGTTTGTGTGTGATTGTGTGTGTGTGATTGTGTGTTTGTGTGTGTGATTGTGTGTGTGTGTGATTGTGTGTGTTTGTGATTGTGTGTGTGTGTGTGTGATTGTGTGTGTGTGTGATTGTGTGTGTGTGTGATTGTGTGTGTTTGTGTTTGTGATTGTGTGTGATTGTGTGTGATTGTGTGTTTGTGTGTATGATTGTGTGTGTGTGTGTGTGTGTGTGTGTTTGTGTGTGATTGTGTGTGTGTTTGTGTAACTTATGACTATTCCTGACATAATTTCAATGTTGTAGGTTATAGCTGAAAACTGTTAAGTTATAGGATCCTATAGGACTTTTTCGTAAGGGTTGGTCATTGTATTGTCTTTAGTTATTTTTAATTTCTGGAATTTGAATGTGCATTCTTTTCAATTTATCATTTTCAAGACATAGCCCAAAATGTAATTTTGACAGCATATCTGTTGCATTTATTTGTGGAGATTGGTTTACTCTCTTTATGTTTTGATACCAACAAAAGACTTGTATGTTGCTGTTAAATTTTGTTGGACTGTTGCAGAATGTAACAAGTTAAGGAATATCTCCTATCAAAGTTACTGAAACTATATACACTTATTACATCTATTGTGTGATTCAGCCCTAAGCTTTGACACCATTCAGTTATCCCAGCTTCAGGTTGATCTTAAGTTAGGACCAAAATGCAGTCTATAACCCCTTTGTTTTATGTTCACAAATTTAATGATAATTTAATGAAGACACATTCTAATGTTAAAATTATAAAAGAACTTATTGATGACATAAGCACAAACAGTGGCAGTGGAGATCCAAGGTGAAGAGTGAGGTAAACTCACTACAATTATTGACCTCAGGTGACTGCCTCTCAACCAGTTGACTATATTTAATAGTCAGGATTATGTAAGGGCAAAGGTTGCTCTCTTTAGAAAACAGTGAATAATAATAACCATGTCTATTTATAGTCTATATCCATATAAATGTTTACAGGGGTAACAGAAAAGAATAAGATAAATTAAGTAAATAACTAAGATATAAAATATATAGTACAATTATAATAAATGTATTGAGTACAACGTTAATAAATATATTGACAGTTGAAATGTTAAGATATTAAAATAGTACAACCTAAAGGTAAAAAGCCAGGCAAATCTTAACTTTTTGAGAATACAAGGATACAAATAAATAAGGTATTAAAATATACAGTACAATATTAATGTTTATAGATCTATTTTACAAATGGTAGCTATCTTTGGAGGTCACATGGTTTAATGGCAAGAAGCAAATGGGGAGGGGGGTAATTTTTAAGCAAAAAAAAAAATAGGGGAAGCTGAATCAACTTTGAAAATGACAGATAAGGGGGGGTTCTTGAGGGCAGTTATTTGGTCCCTTATTAAAAAGTCCTATAGGATCCTATAAGATCATATAGGACTTTTTCGTTAGGGGTAAGATGTAAACGATTTCAAGTATTTTCATCTTTCAATGTAATTTTAAATGTCTGTTAAAATTTGCAATAATAGTGAAATAATTGTACATCTCATCATACATAATTCAAGTTAAGCACCATATGGTATGGAATGCTTCACATTGACCTGTTATAATGCATCTTTTTTATTATTTATATACCATTGTTTGTACAAAGACTATCTTGAGTCCCTAGATGCATGTATGTTTAAAATATCACCAGACTGATTGAATTTTATTTTATCTTTTGACTATCCTGTAATAAAACTACAGGGTTGCCGGTTAGACTCTTCACTGATCAAGATTTTTTTTTATTGGCTGCCTAATACCACCTAATTTTCCTGGCTCCACCTCACCAACAACCTTCCAATCCATCCATAATTTTTTTTTTTTCTTAATCAAACCAACTTTTGTAATGTAACGCATGTACCATTACCTCCAGCTGTTCTCTTATACATGTCCCGATTCCAAGCTTGTGACCTTTTTCAATGGTACATGTTTTAAATTGTGGTGTTGCCATATAGACCTTTGAGAGGAGACTTGGCACATTGAGGTTCAAGTCCTGCTCTCAAAACAATTGACTGGCCTTGGTATTATGATTATAGGTCTGCATATCAGATTTTTCATGAATTTATGGCAACATTGTGAAATGTTTTTCTCATCTGGTGTTTTCATTGTGTGGATATAAACACTCATGGACCTGAAGCCTTATGCAAGTTCCATATTCCAAATATCCATTTTACCTAGTAACTGAGCGTAATTAAATTTTGGTGTTTATTTTGCTGTTATTGCTTTAATACTAACAAAATAACATATTTTTTGCATCATTGTTTCCTGCTTTTTGTCTGAACATTTCATAGCAACATTTTCATTTCTCTTCTTTAAGAGAAGCCAAGGAAGTCTTTCTGGCCCTTGCAGCAATGCAGAGGCGGATCGCTACAGCAATATCCCAGTGTTTGGAAAAATCCTGCTCAGTATGGAGTATGACTACAGAAAAGGTTGGCTGATTATACATATTTACCGATGCCAAGACCTTGCTCCAGCTGATGTGAAGAAGAATAGATCTGATCCGTGAGTTTTTTTTTTTTTTTGCTGTGTTTTTTGCAAGATACGGCATAATTTGAGATCTTAATACCATGTGCCATTTGTAGCTTATCTCCAACAAAAATTCATGGTCTTATCCAAATGTGTTGAACTTACCTCTTTCACCTAATTTTTACACTGTTTAATTTATGATCGTAATATTTTGAAATATCTCTGGGTTGCAGCTATGTCAAGACCTACCTCTTGCCAGATAAATCAAGAGGTGGGAAGAGAAAAACAAAGATAAAGAAGAATACATTGAATCCAACATTTGATGAATTGCTGCATGTAAGTTTCAGCATAAACTGTAAAGAAAATAAAGAAAATCAAACATCATTGAAACAGTCCAACTCTTCCCTATGGTGGAAAAAATCAAAAGAATTATCTGGGATGCAAAACAATGTCACTTTACTCCAACCGCTGGCAGATAGCACATCGTCAGGCAATCTTCAAGTTCTGGAAACAAAATCAATACCTTTTTTCATAGTGTCAGCCAAGACCTGTCACCTTTACAACCTGATGGTAATGCCCAGCAGAGTTGCATAGTACCTGACAAATTTGTTATCTGCACAGCGGATGTAGAAAAATTACTATCCAAAGTAAAGCTGTCTAAAGCTATAGGTACAGACCAATTTCCAAATTGGGTTCTCAGAGACTTTGCAGACTACTTGTCAAAACCACTTTGTGCAATTTTCAATAGCTCAGTAAGGGATGGTTGGGTACCAAAAATTTGGAAATCTGCAGAGATAATACCCATTCCAAAAGATAATCAGCCAAAGGTAATAGAGTCAGATCTTAGACCTATATCACTAACACCAGTTCTAAGTAAAATTTTGGAGTCTTTTGTTACAAAGTGGGTTACAGATGGTCTGCAAATTGATAGAGCACAGTTTGGTGGCATTCAAAATAGTTCAACTACCCATGCCTTAGTCGAACTGACTCATAAATTACTAGGAGGACTTGAACCATCCCCCACAACAAAGTCTTATGCTCAGGTGTTATTTTTAGATTTTGCTAAAGACTTCGACAGGATTGATCACAATATCTTAACCCCATAGAGCCCGTCACCGCATATGTGCGGTTCAATTATCGCTTACCCCAAACGCCCAGAACCGCATATGTGCGTATCTTGGAAAGACCGGCTTCTGTACTCTTTTGTATCGTGAGTCATGAAATGATATATAGTTTAACATCCGGGTATGTTTCTTGTCTCTCATTGCCACCATTTTTAAAGGCGATAGAAATATATATGAGCGAGAAAACGGCGATTTTCAAGACGCAGTTGGAGAAAGTAAAATCAAGATGGCGGCTCCTCGCTACGGTAGGGATCTACGAAGGGATACTGTTATTGATATGATTGAAAACCCGGAGTTTGATGAGAAGTTTTCGTGTGACAGTGACATAGACAGTGACGATGTTATTCATTTATTTATGATATAAAGGACGATAGAAATATATATGAGCGAGAAATCGGCGATTTTCTAGACTTAGCTGGAGAAAGTAAAATCAAAATGGCGACTTCTCACTACGGAAGGGGCCTGCGAATGGATACTTGTATTGAAATGATTGAAAACTACGACACTGATAAGGTGTTTTTGAGTGACAGTGATATAGACAGTGGCGATGATATTCCTTTATTTATGANAAGGTCAGAGAGGAGCTGATGGCAATTGATCCAAAGGAGACTGATCACACAGCATGTGGGCTACCTGAGGATTCAGTGTACAGACTATGGTTTATGCCAGACTCAAGTGAGAAGGTAAGTCATGTAAATATATTATGGAAGTGTGGCTCAGTTATAACTTGTACATGAATATTACATGTATCTTTGTGAAATATATTTGTTTTGTAAATAAATGAATACTCTGAGTATCTGATCACTGTTTTTTTTTTTTTATTCAACAGGAGGATAGTGTTACTCCACCTGCCACAACATTACCAAGTAATACTGGAGGTAAATAATCTTAGAACTCTATACATTCATGAAATATAAATGTTAAAAAGCATTATTTAGTTATTGGTGTTGTTTGAAAATTCTTTGATACCTTGGTTTTATTACAGTTGGATTTTCCACTGCACAATTTCATTTGTTTGTTGTTTTGCTTCCAGTTTGAAGTCTTATATGAACAGACACGTTGTGTTTGTACATATAGCCCTCACCTGCTCTGTTTCTGCCAATGCCCATGCTGAGGCTGATGCCATGCACTTTTACTCTGAGTGGAAAACCAAGTAGACGTTTGGCTTTAAAACTGCAGAACTGATGAATTTTAGTAAAGGCTCAGTTCTAAAACTGACTTGATCATATCGTTCTTCTAAAACTTTGGGATTTGATAGACGGATCATCAATGATGTGCATGGGAATTTTGGAATTTTAGTGCACCTGTGGATTGTGCTCCGCTGTGCCGGGGGGAGGGGGGGATAATTATTTTTACATTTTAATTTCTGCTATCTTCTCCCATGCCATTGATATGAAGACATTTTAACACTGATGGACCTAACATCAGGGATATGCTGGGGTAATTCAGATTTACAATATACTTAGGTGTTGGGGATGCCCCACATGTATTCTATTTTTTTTTTTTTTTCACATTATAACTTTTGATATTTGGCCCAGACAATAGCAGTGAGGAAGTTGACATATTTATTTATTGAACCTGTAGGTTTTGTTCAGATAAATTACAGTTAAACAATGATCAGGGGAAAGACAGTTCTATTAATTTGACATTTTCTTTCAAAACATTGTTATAGGACACAGAGATGGCGGTATGTTACAAGAAGAAAGAATTTTAAAATTACCTGCACCACCCCAGACCAGGCACTCTGACTCACAAGGTAGTGAGAAGATTGGGACAGATGATCTCAAAGATACATACCTTAGGAAATTCTCCATCACTCCAGAAGGTGGACATGTTCATCTGAAGGAAGTTGGAGTATTCCTGTTAGTGCCTCCGGAAGCCCTGGCTGAAACTACGGAAATGTTCATTGGTATTAGTTGGAGAGAAGAAGACATGCCACCGCTGCCACCATGTCAGACTAGAGCAAGTCCTGTTGTTGTCTGTGGACCACATGGCCTGACGTTCAGAACACCAGTGTACCTTTCATTTTATCACTGTATATCAGGAACACGCCAAAGAAAGATGGGAAAGATCTGTCCTGAAATTCTGACACAGAATTCAAGACTGGACAATCCATTTTACATATGGCAGTCAGAAACTCACTTAAGTGAACCTTGTCAGTGGGAAGTATTGAGCAATGCTTCTGTTGTGTTGACAAACACCAAATGTGTCTTAACCACGAACCAGTTCTGCAAACACAGTTTGTCATGTGACAGTAAGCGTCTTTCTGCCTTGGTGTTTGGGTCATTTCAGACTCAACATGTCCCCTTGCTGAAACTGATGGTGTGCTGTGTCAATGACACCCGAGATGAGGTCGAGGTGAGGCTTTAATAATTCTTCAATTCTTAAAGATCTAACAGTCGGCAACGTTGCCTTAGCATACTTTTACCTGAATGCTACGCGTGCGACCCAAAGTGCAAGATAACAGTAGGTTCAGTAAGCTTAGGACTTGAAACATCATTGTCATCACCATTCATTAAGATGACAGGAGAATCAATTTAGAGCTGCACTGACGAGTTGTTGTTTCTTTACCAGAGTACTCGGTGTGAGATAGCGTTTAGTAGATTTGCTGAGGCTCACTATAGCATCATTAACAGTAGGGATTTCAGTAACAGAACAAGAAGCAATCAAGAGCTGCAATACGGTAAAGTCTTGAAAATTTCGTCGCTTAAAAATTAATTAATATTTTCAATTGTGTAAATCCGACTAATTTTTCAAAATTACCTCTCCCTGACTCCTGGGCATGACGAAATTTTCAAAAATACGGCCTTTGGGCTTTTATCCTGAGCTACTGTTATCTTTGACCCTCCTATACAGTCTGTCCGCAGATTCCGAGCTGCTCGTGCACACTGTCTGAAGCGACGGCCATTTTTGCACTACTTTCAGCAAAATCGAGTGAAAATGGACGACTTTTGAACTCTTTGTATTTTCATGCGTATTTTTGTCAGCAGTTGATGTGATTAAACGATTGATATATAAAAAGAAGCGGGAATATCTAAGGATTCGGAATTTTAAGGTTAGTTGTCATAAAAAATAGAATGAGAACGGTAAAATGGAAGATTTATCCACGCGGGTGATTGCAAATGCAGGGCTAGACACTAACTTTTATGAGCACCTGTCCTTCGGACAGGTGGTCACAAATTTGACCTGTCCGATTTTCAAACCAACCTGTCCAACAAAACCAATATTTTTTTCTATTCATACCCAGAACTTTGTAAATTAATATGTGTAGTCATACATTTAATGTATTTATTACCAAAATACTCAATCAAATGAGCTGGGAAAATGCACCTTAAAGTGAATTTATTTTCAGGTAAAAAGTTGTTTTTTCATACTTGTGAACTCCTGAAGATTAAATCTTGCATATAAGGCTGTATTCCCAGAGCTTTTAGATCGATCTATCCCCGCGGGGAGTCTCACTAGATTACTGTCAGATAATCCGGCTTAAATGTCCGTCCCACCTACTACAAGCTGTAAGGGGGTAATTAACTTTCGTGTC